GTTTTTGCTGGCTGTAGCAGCGCTACAGCGCTGCTATAGCGCTGCACAGCAAAAACGCATAAAAAACGATTGTTAGACGGAAATTATTTCCTTTTATGCAAAATTTGCGATTATTTACGGTATTGAGCGCATGGGGTACGTGCGAAGAAACAACCGTTCATGCAGTTAACCTAATTTAAGTTTGGTGCAAAAACGCATGATCGCACCGGCTCGCCCGGTGCTTTGCGGCCTGGGTTGCATCTGTTCCACGTCACAAGTAGAGTTTAGATATTGCATGCAAATTATTGCGTAAACAACTGGATAATGATCAAAGTAAAACTTAATCAAGGTGATCATTATGAGAGGTTGTACTTGCGATTACTTATCTGCTTTTGCAACACTCAATAGACAGTTGTATGAAGTAATAATAGGTTTTAGTACAAACATCCAAAAAGTGTGCTGTCCGTGCAAAAACTGTGTCAAAAAGAACATGTAAGTCTGCATGTTAGAAGAAAAATAATGAAAATCATTGGCGACTCGCACCAGGTGGGCCCGTGCGATCATGCGTTTTGCAGTATTTCGTGCTGTAATGAGGTCGCTCGGAAACCTGGTAGCTAGAATATGCGAGATATTGACCGTCGAAGTTCGGGAAATTAATTTCTACGCTGTACTTGACAGGGAGCGTCCCGTTAAAATTTTACCATTCCAACTCCTCTGATTCTTGACTTAACATTTTTTCCTGCCAAAAAATTTCGTGGGTCCGTATTTGAGAACTACACATATCTGGGAGCTGAATTTAATATCTTTAAGTTTTACGGGGGGCTGGGAACATGCCCTTAAAATTTCAGCCCCCAGATTTCCTAGTTCCTGAGTTAGCCATTTTTCCGCCAAAGAATTTTACGGGGACGTACGTGAGAACCACGCATGGCCGTGGCCTGGATTGGATGAATTTAAGCTGTACGTATGTTGGAAACATTTCCTGAAAATTCCAGCCTCCCAGTTTTTCCCGTCCTCAAGTTAGCGATTTTCGCGCCAGGTACCCTCAAGGAGTCATACGCGGGAACCACGCACACCTGGAGGCTGAATTTGAAATCTCTAAGTTCTATGTGGGTGGGGAACACAACCTCGAAATTTCAGCTTTCTAGCTTCTCTGGCCCCCGAGCTAGCGATTTTCCTGCCAAAATTTTCACCCTCCTGTACACGAACCCAGACTTGCGTGAGGGTTGGTACCGCGGTCTTGAGGTGGCATTTGGCCACCGGCAAAATCTTGGTGCCAAAGCTTGCTTGGGTGTCGAGTTGAAATGTCCAGGTAGGCCCACATACACGCGCACATACTCACACACATGCGGAGTTCGTTACAATATGCGTTTTCGCTTATATGCATATAAGCAAAAACGCATAAGAACGATGGATCAGCTCCAGGCTTTGTCATTAAAACTAGCTCCTTATTTGTTTAAATAATTTAGTTCATTTTGTAGGCATGAACACGTCGAGTCGGAAATTGGCTCCTGTTTCTTTTCTTCTGGCACACTGCTAGCTGATGATATCCTGAATTCAAAACCAACTATACGGCATGGAATTTGCAGAAGCTAACCAAATCGAGCTGCCATTCCTGGTTGTCATAAAAGTCTATCAAACTGAGATTTTTTGAATAGAGAGCGTACTTGATCGAATCATTTGAATGAGCCCAGGATCCAAACAGTAATGTGCACTGCTGTCTGAAAGCAGTTAGTTTCATTGGTATCCCAAAATGATCTGAGAGAAGGACTTCGGTGCATTTGTCTTTTTCGGCGCTTTTTTGTGAACAACTCGAAAATGAAGCAGAGGCGACTTGCAAAGGAAAACAATCAATCGATCGCCAGTTGCATGCGGAAGAATTTTTGGAATGTTTTTTGAGGAATTTTACACTTTTCCCCATTTTACACTTTGAAATATATCAGGCATGCCGTTAACCCAAGAGCGGCCTAGCATTTGTCGGAAAAATTCAAGATCGTTAGCATATAAGCCTCCAGTACTCTGGTGCGGAGGCCTTTTATTCGAATTTTTTTCACAGTTGTACAGAAAGAAGTTTCTCATAGCTGTTCTATCGTCCTAGTAACCCTAAGCTTTCACATCAAGCGTTCGAGCGGTAGCTTCATTAACCGAACTACTGGCTAGACAACCAGAACTACTGGTGACAAAATTTGCTGCAAAAAAACGTCAAAGCTGAATCTGTTAACTGCTTTTCTATTTGGGTCATGTGCTCGTTTAGTTCTGCACACTTTCCATTCACCTCACTTATCACGACACAAGCAAAGATAGAGCTAACGATCCGCTGCAGTCTTGATATGAATAAGTTCGAAATGACCAACAACTTCTTTTATAAATTGCTCTCTGTGAAACGCGGACGCACTTAGAAATACTTCGAATAGCACCGACTACCCGCTGGTACGGCGGCTTAGCCCCAGATGGAGCTATGCCGTCAAGCATATCAAAATTTCCAAGAATGCCGGATTTTGAGGTGCCGAAATATACAAAATCTTCGGAGGGCGGATACGAAAATGCCTTGAATTAATAGATTAAAAAAAGTCATTTAAAATAGCAAAATCTTACCTACAAATGTAAAAAGGACTTGATTTTGTGCTAAAGCAAATCTACAGAAATCAAAGCATGCAGAAGTAAGCATGATAATTAGATACTATGCAGTGAGTGTGTGATACTTACATATCGAAAGGGAAAAACTTCACATCCAATTTGCAGAGCGATTCGGTTGAGTACGGCAAATAATAACGGACACTGCCAGTGTAATTCACACGAACATCGTTATTACTCAGCAATTTTACAGCTTGATTGAAGTGATGACTGAAAATTGTAATGCCGACTTGCTAGGGAAAAGAAGATGGATGGTACTGCAAATGGCAAGCAACAGTGCTCGAAGGGTTGGCCAGCTGCCGACAACTCGATTTGACCGAGCGAATCTGCCACGCAGATTCTTTGGCTGCTGCCCTTGTTGCTCATATCGCCACTAAGAAAATCAGAATACATTTTTACCAAATAGTATATTTGGACGAAGTGCTGTCTCTTTGTTGACAAGCTTGTTTTGACGCTAAAATTGTAACAAAGGAAGGCGAACTATTTGAACATCACAAAATACGCATTTGGGGGCAGTACTAGCGTGAATAAAAAATAATCTGCTAGATCCTAACAGCTCCTCCATATGTTTTATTTCTAATTTTTCTTCTTTATGTAAACCCTCTACTGCAGTGGAATTTTGAGGCCATTTGTATTCCACTCTTTCACTGCACATTCAGTTATAATAAACGCAGAAAAACGCAAACTCCGACAAAACCCGAACATCCGTTTTCTATGTGTGTGTGTGTGTGTGTGTGTGTGTGTAAGTGCTGCTAGCTGCACCAAAACGAGTTTCGAGGCGTATTGGGAAATAGAAATGGTCACAAAAACACAATTATAACAGATCCTACAACAAATTTTACCTATAATAGAGTGAAAATTCTGGAATCCAGATATCACTAGAGGACAGGAAAATTTCAGTAGCACCATCGTAATCGTCCGGATTCCACTGCAAGAAATCATCCTTCCAGTACTGCAATGTTTATTACAATTCATTTACGAACACATTTGTTTGCATCTTGTTTGCCAGTATAATAAAGAAAAGCACGTACAAAAAATCAGGGAACAAATGAGCAACGACTGCAGTAGGGAGAAACATTATCCAGAAGCAGCGAAAACTGTAGGACGAAGCAACGCTCAGCACTATTTTTGATTATTTTACGTGGATGGTAATAGTTGTTTACGCGTACAAAAGCAAGTGGCTGGCCAGTTAGATATCAGCCCGAGTCACGAGATTGTCTACTTTAGGCTTTGCTTTGGAAAAAATCACCGCTACGGACGGATGAGACTGTTATAACTTTTCGGGAGCTTCTTTTCCCAGTTTTGCTCTATACCAAATAATTTGTCCCACAAGAAATGGTAATTCGACTACAAACCAAGCTGCAACGCAACAGGTTTGCTGATGCGATCATGCATTATTACGCTAAATCTGCAGATCGCTAGCAGCAGAAATGGTTCCTACGCTATAGATTAGCACTTGGACTAAAATTAGTTGTGTTTCGGCCTTTTCCCGCATGCAGAGGGAAGGGCGTCGACTGGGATGGGGGTGTTATATTATAGGGCCACATGGATTTCCAACGTACATGATTACCAGTTTTTTTGAGTGAAGCTCGGTAATATTACTGGTTAATGCTCGCTCATTGAAAAAAATGCAAATTTGAAGAAAATCGAAAAAGAATTATGAAATTTGCAGAGCGCACTCACTTTTGAGTTTGCGATAAAATTGAGTATTTCTCATACCTACTTGCAAGGAATTTCATCTCAAAATGAATTAAGACTACACATGGATGTAGAATATCCCAGCGAAGTTTCAGCCTTGCATTTTATCCGGTAAGTGAAATAGCCACTTCGCTACAAATATCTTTGAAATGTCCTAAGTCGTGGCACAAGTGGAAGTCTGGATGCAATTTTCCATATGGACGTTAAATATACTGACAAAGTTTCAGCCACTGTATTCCGGCTAGTTTTTGAGCTAGCATAGTGTTAAGTATAAACTTTGTTTTGATCGTACGCGCTGCAAAAGCCTTCTCAATAGCTGAACTTGAAATAATTAGCCCACAAAAGCACATACAGTATCCCTGCAAAGTTTCAGCTTTCTATCTTGTTTGGTTCCCAAAAGCGATTCCAGCCAAAGAAATCTGCACTTTTTTTTCGGATGGGAGGGGGAGGGAGGTCCGTGCATGAAATCTAAGCAAGTATGAGCGAAAACTTTAAAACGGAAGGGTGACATGTGGGGTAGGAATATGTCTTCAGTGCTTCAGCCTTCCACCTTTCCTAGTTGCTAAGTTGAAAGTAGATGACAAAGTTCACTCGCTCCCACACACACACGTGAACGACCTTTTTTGCTCACTGTAGCAGCGCCACAGCACTGCACTGCAAAAATGCATAACTCAGGCTAGAGCGCATCAGGCTTGCCGGTGTGATTATGCGTTTTTGCACTAAACTCGCAAGTCGCTAGTAGCAGGAATGATCCCTCCGGTGTAAATTAATACTTGGGCTCATATTGGCCGTGCTTTAGCCCCTTCCGACATGCATGAGGTAGGGCGTCGCTTGGGATGCAAGTGGTGTATTGTAGAGCCGCACGGACCTTCAGGTACATGATTTTCAGTTTTTGGCATGAAGCCCGGTTGTTTTTTCGATGAATGCTCGCTTTTTGAAAAAATGCAAATTTCCAGTTCACTAAAAAGAGGAAGTGCTGCTCGAGCGGCCGTTTGTCAAACCCAGGCTGGAACGCACCAGATTTTTTGGTGCGATCATGCGTTTTTGCACTAAACTCGCAGATCGCTATTAGCAAGAATGATCCCTACGCTAT